ATTTAGTTCGTCAAACAAAATGCTAGCAGTTTCAAATTGTAGTTTAGATGTTTGATTCAATTTATTCTATAAATAAGATGATACATTAAGTATGTGTTTATAAATATTTTAACCATCAGTTTCTTGTTTACTTTTTTATGTACAGGAATGTTAAAATCAGAAGTGCTGCAGCCCATTAAAGAAGTATTGTCATAAAAACTAGTAGAGTTCTAGCATAACTCTTGAACTCGACATAAGATCATTAGGCAGAAGTTCAATATTAATTGTTGGTTTACAAATTAATTCCTAAAAGTTAATTGAAAAAATTGTGTTAGATATTTTGGGTACAATTTAAATAACTAAATAACTTAGAAAAAATTAAGACTACATTAAGTTAATATATAGTGTAGAAATTATAAAATTATTTGATGAACAAATGGAAATATGTTCACATGTTTAGTGTTTAATAAAATAGTATAATTTTTAAAATAATTATATTGTATTTTCATTTATTGATAAATTAATACTAATTATTATATTATTAAAAAATAAAAATGTACTTCTTCATCACCGCCACATGTAAAAGTTGTTCTATTAGTGGTAGAACTACTAGTGTCTAATGCATTGCATGGTTGAATTAAATATTCCACCTATTATTAAAATTGGTAAAGAATAAAAATACTTTTATACTATACCTATTATATTATATTGTGATTACCTTATTCTCAGAAAACTTCAATCGTTTGCGAGCTGAAAATGGTACTGCATTTCGTTTCAAACGAGGCCTTACTACTGTAGTCTAAATATTTAATTAATTAATGTCATGTTATAATTACATAAACATATTATATATTATATAATTTTACATTTTTAAGGCAAATTGATGGGTAATTTAAGAGATTAAATAATGTGAAAAAGAAATATTGATTGATTTTCTTGTGGAATTAATCTGTTTAATACATTTTGTTATTTTACTTACCGAGCATACAATATTTCCTACTTTATCCACTATATAATTTTGTTTTTTAATGGCATCAACTGGAAAATGTAGTTCACAAATAACATCATTTGTGTCCAAGTGATCAATATTTAAAGCATTCAACCATTCTTTCTTTAAACTTTGATCTTTTTGTGTTACAAATACCGATAGTTTTCTAGTTTTGTTACAGCCAAACCAACACATTTTATTAGGCATTGTTAGTATAATTTTTATTATATAATAACATAAAAAACAAAAGGATAGGACGATTAATCAGGATTATAAAATAAAAATGCACTTTATGTTGTACAAATGAAGTTTATTTTAAAAACAACGATTATGTAATATGTATAATATATTAATATTTAATATCTATATTATCAGATTTGTATAGTAGTAAATAGTGTATTAATGCATAATAGTTATAAAAATAATATTACGTTGTTCAAATGTATTATCCCAATAATTAATGTTTAAATGGCGGTAGGTAATTACTAATTTGATAAACCTTTACTACATTAATTCATAACCTCAAAAACGTCTAACCAGCAGCGCTCATTAATATTGTGGTGAAAATTTTAAATGTTTTCGCTCAAATAAGCGGAACATGTCATGATGGTTGGCAGGGGGAAGTGGTCAGACCTTATCTTCTAAGACCGTGATCTCATAAGTGCTCAGTCCTATTAATCATAGTTTATGGTCTATCCGGTTATTATTAGACCTTCGACTTGAATTATTTAATATTATTATAGGTATAATGCTTATCTATTGTCGTCTGTCGACGATCAACGATACAATTATTATTCTTATACTATTTCTTTTCTTAAAAGTGGTGCACATTAGCGACAAATGACAATAATAATACTAGGTACCTAAATATATACGTATAATTCATTATATAATATATTATACAATTTTAAAAATAATATCGGAAAATATTATGATGTTTGTATATTTTTCAGACTACGTCTCGTAAACAATCTAGATAAATTAATATAGATGACGAAGTTTTCTATCTTAGATGACAGGTAGATACCAATTGTGTAATTTATTTAGATAAGATAAAAGATACGATTGTTTTATCTAGATAAGGTATCTAGATAAATTTATCTAAATAAATTTAGCTATTGCACAACACTGCTCAAACCCTTGCTGTTGAAGACACAAATTTACTGCGCAACAAACAAAATTATAATGAAAATGTATTAAAAAATGATTGTAAAAGTACTGGAATTGATGAAGAATCTATATTTAATAACATTTATTAATTTCATGCTGTGGATAACTATGCAGTTGACATTATGCATGACCTGTTTGAAGGTATTTGTGTGTACAACATGTGTCAATTATCAATAATTTAATTAGTTTGGGATATTTCAATTTAGAACTGTTAAACAGAAGAAAGCAAGGATTTGATTATGGTGATACAGAAATTGGAAATATGTCTCCTCCTTTGATGAAAAATAAATTGGATAAATCAAAAATTAAAATGTAGCCAAGAGAGATGCAAACGTTTGTCCATTTTTTTCCATTATTAGTTGGGGATTTAGTTCCTGGATGTGATTCAGTTTGGTTATTTTTAGCTAATTTCATTGAACTGATTGATCTGTTGCTATTACCTAGTTTTAATGAACAAACTATACTTAAGTTACAGAGTTCTACTTTATACCATTCTAATTACACTGAGATTTTTAAAGATACATTAAAACCAAAACACCATCTTCTCGTTCATTATTGTAACATTATTAAAAAGTCGGGGCCTTTAAAATATTTATGGTCATATAGATTTGAATCTAAACACAGAGAACTTAAAACCTATACTAAAAATATAACATCTAGAGTATAAATTCCTGTATCGTTAGCAATCAAATATTCTATGAATTTTGCAGACTTTATTTTAAATTTTAATGATAATAATATATAACATGTGAGTCCATTAGTTGTTTAGTTGCTCAATGTCTGTATTTTGAACATATTAAGTTATTATTTTTGCCTAATGACTTAACTCTTCTTAATAATGCAGAACATATTTTAACATGTAATGTAGGTAGTAATATAGGTTAAAAAAAATTATTTGTATTCATGAAAAAGTGTTGTTTTTTTGTGAATCTTTAAATGTATTATCATATAAAAAACATATAGTCAGTTATAATATTTCTAAAACTATCACTTCAAATTACATACTTAAGAATGTTAACGACTTTATAGGACCTCCTATAAACTTACGTAATTTACCAACCAATGAAACTATTATTCGGCTAAAACATTTCTATTGAAATTTATTTGTATTGTATTCTTTTTTCTAATAAATTTATTAATTGTATTGTAATATTTTTTCTATTAAATAAATGATTTAGAATAACTGTAACTTTTGTACTTTAGTAATTACATATGAAATATATATAAAATACATTAAATGAAATAAAGTTTATTGAATAATAATTGTATTGAATTTAGGTACATCAATGATTACATCCAAAGTAAAATTTCTTTAAAATTATGAAATTTATCATGGTTTTAATACTAGCAGTTCATAACATTTAAACATGTTTACAAGTAATATCAAAGGCAAAGCATTTTTGAAACTATGAAAAAAGTGTTATTTTAATTAAATAATTTCATTGAATTTAGGTTTATCAATAATTAAAATCAAAGTAAAGTTTCATTAATATGATGAAATTCAGCATGGTTTTAATAAATGCAATTCATTCAATTTAAGCATGTGTACTAGTAAAATCAAAGGCAGAGTATTTTTGAAGCTATGTAAAAAGTGTTATTTTAAAGAATATAATGCCATTAAGTTTAGTATGTAAGTTTGCTAGTTCAATTTTCCAACAGAATTAAACTGAGTATGAAGTTATTCACAATGATGAAATTTGGAATTAAATTAATTAAGCACTAAATACCACGAATGTATGAAAATTAAATCCATGTTTTTATGAACAAATATAATTGGCTTGAAATCATACCCGAATTCCATTAAATCAGTATATGTTTTTCATAGATATTATGAAACATTTTTCGGGATGTACATAATTCTATTAATTCAGTACCTATGTATAGAAAAGCTATTGGCTACCGTCAACCCGGGTGACTTGGAACTTGGAGGTGACTTGGAACAATTGCGTTATTTTTTGATAACAGCGGTTAATTTTATGCTAGATAAGGGAAATAAAATTCTGTCTCCACAAAAATATTTTTCGGAAAGTTTTGTAAAAGTTTTGTTATCATCGAAAATGTGTTATCTCTTATCAATAAGCCATGTGATACAACCTTAGATCATATACAATGGATAGAGCCATACGAACCACGGACTAAGATATACAGGACTGGACACGAGATGAATATTGTGGTTACGAAATGTTTTACAACAGGCGGAGTTCGGGGGGATATTTTCCTTTTAGCATTACTAGCGCCGTCTTAGTGGATACTTATGGAACTAGAAATTTGTATGATGTGTTCTAGTTCCATAAGTATCCACTAGGACGGCGCTAGTAATGCTAAAAGGAAAATATCCCCCCGAACACTGCCTGTTGTAAAACATTTCGTAGTCAACCCCCCACACCCTCCAACCTTGTCGTGTCCAGTCCTGTATATCTTAGTCCGTGATACGAACTATTTGTGAAGCCAACATCGTTGTAGGACCTCGGTAATATGCGCATGCGCGTGGTATCTTATCATTAATGTTTGGCACAGAGCGCAGAGTGCAGACGCGCAGTTAAGATAAACAAGTAACAACACGTCAACACTAACAACTATAAAATATGTTTTTTAAGTTTCTTTAATTGTTATTTCTTTTTTGTTATAATTGTAATAAGACCTTCATAATACTATTATGTATTATATAAAATGTATTACTTTAATGTATTAAGATTAACTATTAACAACTAACTTTATGTACTTATGCATAATGCATAGTCAATAGTCATAAATATAAAATAATAATAACAAGTGTACTAGAAAATAGTATATATAATATAACTCAAAAGGTAATTTACTGAATAATAATAGAATGTGACAATAGGTACTACATATCTATTACCTACTGATTTTTAAATAAAATTATTTTGGTGCATTTATGTCGCACATTCTTGCCTGCCATTGAAAGTGAATGCATTTTGGCTATATGATTTAATCTTAATGTTATATATGGCTCAATGATAAATTGTATTAATTGTCTTCGATGGTTATTAAAAGGATCTTGGTTTAATATGTGTTGTTTCATTTCGCAAGTGTTGAATATTGTATTAACTGTGCTTATTTCGTTCAGTGTCTTAATTGTTAAATGCATCTTTACGTTCTTCATTTTAAGTAGCTCATCGGAGTAAAATCTTATGATATACTCTGATGCCAAACATATTTTGTGTACATCAGATGATATATTAATTAATTTTCCTTTTGTTTTTAATTTTAACAGCAATGATTCATTGACATCATCTTTTTCGGTTAAAAATGAATCACAAATTCCACACAAGTTACTTTTATTTTTTATTTTTCTTATAATAAATCCCCCTGTGTATTTAACAATATCTATAACAAACTCCTCTAATTCTGGCATACGGGTTGTTTCATCATAATCATGTTCAAACTCGTTAAATAATACATTTGTTTCCTCATCAATATCTTCATAATCACAAATTGCATCAGCGTCTTGACGTTTATTAGAGCTAACAAAAAGGATACTTGCACTGTCAAGAGGTGAACCATTTCCATACATTGAGCCATCTACTTGATGCCTTACCAAAAGACGTTTATATGCAGAACGAAATTGTATGGCATTTGGATTATTGTTAAAACCTCCCCTGCTCCTCATTGCACTAAAAAAAACCTCTACATGATCCTGACTCAATTTATAAGAAAGCAAATAATTCATATCTATTTGTATTTGTTCATACAACTCGAGTAAATTTGTAAGACAAATAATGAATCCAAGAAAACCTGTTTTTCTCTGACTCTTTAATATTGGTTCTCCTTATGGATATTACTGTGTTGGTTGAAATCTAAGGTTCTCAACATATATTTTGAACTCATCCAAAAATGTTTTTATTTTATTAATATTATTGGTATTTATAGGTATACTATAATCGCCTTTAGCCAATTTGTTTCTGCAGTTCAAGATATCAAAAGCATCATTAAAAATTTTACAGAACTCAGCTATAGCTTTACATCCTGATATCAATCTTAATTATTCACAAAACTCAAGAGCAGAGCTTACACTTGAACTAAGAGTCTGTGCAGCCAATCTAACATTCATTTTGTTTTCAAAGTAATTGATATGAGTTTTTTTTAATTTATTGGCTGCATGAAGTCCTTTTGTTTCTTGAATATTTTGTAAGCTCTTTAAATGATCCCATTTAATAGTTCCTCCATTTTTATTCAGTAACTCTTTGTTATCACCTATTGTATTTCTAACCAGCTTCAACATGTGGCAAGCATCCCAAAATATAAATATTTTCTTTTTTTCTGAAATTGGATAAGCTGGGTTATAAAACCAAGGTTGAAAATGTTCAGAGGAGTAATCAAAATTAGCTGTCAGTGATTTACACATGGTAATGTTTGTTGGAGCCCCGTCAAATGTTATTGAAAAGCATTTGGCTCCTGTATCAGCAAACAATTCAAGACACTTAGTCAATAAATTTGCTTTTTCATTGCCTGTAAAACTGTGTACTAAAAAATATCCTAATGGAACCTTCCAATGCCCATTCATGCAAACTGCAAGAAACACTAATGCATTTGTTGCTTGTTGAAAATTATCTGAGTCATTTTGATCTTGTCCTGTTCCCAAATCTATACCTCCATAGAATTTACCATTAAGAAAAATAGTCTGCTTTCTTATAGCCATTTCATCAATTGTAATATTACAAATTACTGAACCCTGTGTTTCATTGACCTTTTTCCTAATTGCTTCAAACGCTTCAAATGTGAATCCTGGTTCTCCGCCAACACCAGAAAACCACTTTTTAATTGTTGCTGGATGTGGTAATAAATTTTTAAACGTTTTTCTTACATAATTATAGGCCTTAGCTGAATAAAATTGGAGAATTAAAGCAAATGATCTAATCGCGGGTGAATATTTTGCATTGTTCGATTTAAAACTTCTATTAAGCACTTCTTTAATTGACTCAGAGGTATTGTTCTAAAATATAAAATATACAATCAAACATAATACTACAGATGATTTATTTTAAAAGAAATAACTATCAGACACAAATGGAACTATGCATGCATAACAATAGTCATATTATATCACATATCACATATAACATACCAGAATGTCACCATGGCCTATTAACTAATTAAGTATAATACAAAAATACATACAAAATATATAAACATTTTACAATCATGCAAATCACAGGCGGACAACATTAGTTCCACAAAATATACAAATATCCCAATAATTTTCATATTATATCATATTTATATTTACAATTTATTTTAATACATTTGCTGTTATATTAAAAATATAGCCGACCAACTGAATCCATTTATTCCTACCTATGATATAAATCAATAATGAGTAACCCTTTCTTAAATTGTTAGTTATAATATTTATTGTTGTTATGGGTTACAAAAATACACTTATACAAATCTATTACATATTATAAAAATAATTATACAATTACTAAACCACTTTCTACAAAAACATGTTCAAAACTTTTGGTTTATAATTAACAAATAAACTTCCATTAACGGGCACCTCTATAGGACGGTCACTTCTATGTAACAGTCAATTTTTTTGGTCCCGTTGAGTGTTATCCTAGTGTTATATTACCTCTGTAGGACGGGCACCTCTAATTAGCGGTCATTATTTAAAGTCCCTTCGGTGACCGTTATATGGAAGTTCTACTGTACATGCACAACAATCACCATATTTCACATATAAATACCAAAATATCGTCATGAGCCTGTTCGCTAATCAGATTAATGCTCTTAAGGTGTTCAATTAGTTTTTCCAATGATGTCAATTTTTTTCTTAGTCTCCTAACAGTTTGATGAAGTCCAATAATTTTTTTCCTTTGGGAAATAATTTGTAATCTGGCTTTATTAAAACATTTTTTTGCTCTCTTGGGAGTTGCTAAATCAGGTGACCTAATATCACCAAACATAACATTTTCTATTCAAACTTTTTGGAGTTTCTGAAATAATATTACATAACATAGGTAGTGTAGTATCTTCTAAATAAAAATAAATTGGTCATATAGAAATTGAATGTTACCTAATACTGACATAACATCACTGTCTCCAAGTTTTGTTGGTGTATTAGCTTGATTGATATTATTTACTTCACAAGGTTCTATATAATAAAAAAAATAAATAAATAGTTATTGAAAAATTATAAATAAATTAAAAATATTTTACAGTATGTATTGACAAAATCAAAAACTGGTTGAAGCTATTTAATTTAAATAATAATTATTACATTTCTGGGTTACAATAAAGTTTTTTTTTTTAAACTTATATATTATGTTAAATTACTATAAAATATGGTTAGTAACCACTAACCTTTTGACATAATAGATATTGACCAGTACATCACAGAAAACCAATTAGAAGTTCCCATTGAACATATACTACCCATAAACCAAACCCACATTGATGAACTGATCAACAAATTATCAACGCTAATAATAAAGGCAGCTAATATAGCAATTGGAAAATCTAGTCGCCCTCTTAACAAAAGAACAGTACCATGGTGGAACGAAGATTGTAAAAACGCAATCAAAAAATATAAAAAAGCTCTCAACCGCTTCAAAAAAACCCACTTACAAACAGACCATATACTAGTTAAAAAATACAAAGCTGAATCCAGATACATTACAAAAAAAAGTAAACTAGAATGCTGGCAGAAATATACATCTACAATCAATATCAGAACCCACCCGTCAGCAGTCTGGAACAAAATTCGTGCACTCAAAGGATGTAAACACCAACCTCTTCCTAACCATATGCACCACAACCAAACTGAACTACATTCAACCTCCGAAATTGCACATGCCTTTGCTGAGACATTCCAATCAAACAATAGCAATGCAAATTATGAGGAGAACTTTCTAAATTTCAAAAATGAAACTGAAAATAATATCACAATTAACCCCTATCCTCAACCTGACAACGCGGAATATAATCACCCATTCAATATAAAAGAACTCCACCTCGCACTTCACAACTGTAACAGCAAAAGTCCTGGACCTGACGATATTCCTTTCACCTTCTTGAAAAACTTATCGGATAATGCTATCAACACTCTCCTCGCAATTTTCAACTTAATTTGGAACAATGGAATTTTCCCCAATCAATGGAGACAGGCACTCGTAATCCCTATACTAAAACCAGACAAAGATAAATTTAATATTCTTAGCTACCGTCCAATTTCGCTTATCAGTACCCTAAGCAAATTACTTGAAAAAATGATAAACAAACGCTTAGTGTGGTTTCTCGAAACGAACAAAAAATTCACAAAACAACAATGCGGCTTCCGCATAAACCATTCAACCCACGATGTCTTAGCTACACTTCACACTGATATAACTGAATCAATAATTAAAAAACAACACCTTATCCTAATTGCTCTCGATATAGAAAAGGCCTATGACATGGTATGGAAAAAAAAAGTACTATCCTCCCTCCAAAAATGGAACATCACAGGAAATATGCTAGCCTTTATTCACAATTTCCTTCTAGATCGAAAAATCCAGGTAAAACTAGGCAATACACTTTCCGAACATCTAGACATTGAGAACGGACTACCGCAAGGATCATCAATAAGTGTCACATTGTTTCTCGTTGCCATTAATGACATATTTAATAACATAAAGCCTCCCATAAAATGCACACTATTCGCCGATGATTGCAACATATATTGCAGAGGAGCTAATATCAAAACTACTGTAGCACTTCTCCAAACAGCACTAAAAGCCCTATCTGACTGGTCCTCCATCACAGGCTTCAAGTTCTCACCAGCCAAAACTCATTGCATAATTTTCAATAACAAAAAAAAAAATGAAACAATCCATCATGTATACCTAAACAACACAAAAATTGAATACACTGAAAGCATCCGTATACTCGGGATGATATTTGACAGCAAATTCACATGGGTCCCACACCTCAAAAATCTAAAAAATGAATGCAAGAAGAGAATGAAAGTCATCAAAACGCTGGCTCATAACACATGGGGATCTGAAAAAAACAGCCTCCTCACCATATACAAATCGCTCATCCTATCCAAAATTGACTATGGCTCATTGATCTACTACTCAGCTAACTCCAACATCTTGCGCACTATTGACCCTATTCATAATGAAGGAATCAGGCTTTCCATAGGAGCTTTCCGTACCAGTCCAGTTTCCAGTATTCTCTGCATGGCAGGCGAGCCTCCTCTACAGATTCGAAGAAATAAAGATATCTTAAAATACGCGGCAAAAAAGAAAAACCTTGAACACCACATGGCATCACAAATATTCACCTCCTCTCCTAGTCTCAGAACATCAAGGAACCATGAAAAAATCACGGACACGTACACTAAACTATGCAGCAATTCAAATTGCCTCGTCAACACGGACACCTTCTCTCCATTTACAACATCCCCCTTCTGGCAATGGACCCCTAAAATTAACACGCAGCTCCTTCATTTCAAAAAAAACAACACTTTGCATACAATAATCTCAAGAACCTTTAACAACATCTTATACTCTGAATACCAGGATTTTAATT